GCCTCATCCTGGCATGGATCGCAAGTGTGTTCAAAAACATACCCGCCTCAGAGATCACTACACCCGGCCCGGCCGCCGCTGTCACGAGTCCGATCGCCGATCGGACGGCTCGGACAGCACGGTCACCGTGTCGGACGGTCACCGTCTGGGCCCGGCCGGTCCGGCGGGGCTGGACCGTCCGTCTGAACTTTCGGAAGCTCGACTGCTACATGCACAGCTCAGTGACTTAACTTTGAGTAAAGAGACTCAGCGGTGAGTTTCGAGTGCTTGGCAGCCTTCCGTACGATTGGACCTCGAGGAGGAGCAGGCAGCAGACCTAAGCGAACGCACGAGGGATGCTCGCTCGAACGTGAGGAGCCTCACGTGACCACTCAGGCTAGTGGTTCCCCTCAACCAGAAAAGTAGATCATGCACAAATTCTAAGATGGTCTGTCCTTTCCCTTGCTGTGTGTGTGCCAAGAACCGATAGTGTGTTGGTAGGAGACCGCACATGGAGGATCACTTTCAGGTGTCTGTGTTGAACACTGCCTTGCATCAGGTAGTTGCAATCGAGTTCGAACTGGGGGGGTGCTGAACCATTTCATGCGCCAAGGGCATCAACTTCTTCGGGGTGTTCGACGGGCATTCGGGAACTCGATGTGCAGAATTCCTCAAGAAGAATCTTGTTGGATATCTTACAAATTCGATCAGGAAAGTGAACCTGCCACTTGAGCTGAATTTGTTTGACAGCTGCTGCAGCAATGTGGACTTTAACCAAGTGAACGAATTCAGCAAAGCGATTTCGAACAGCTACCTTGAATGCGACCGAAATTTTCTGGTGAGGCTCTCAGGTGTGAAGATCAACGTGCATTGACCAATATTTTTGTTGTGCAGGAGATTGCTGTGAACAATCGATGGTTTGACGGGTCGACTGCAACAACGGTATGTTGTTGTTCTGATGTACTGTACCTTTGTGAAGCCTCTCAACCAAACTGGTGCCAGGCAATCCTTTACCATCAATCTGTTTATGTTGCGAACGTTGGAGACTCGAGAACAATACTTGCCCGTCTTGGTCAAGTTGGAAACATGCCCGTGCTTATTCCATGTTCTGACGGATCTTCGAAGGCGATGTGTTGGTGTTAAAATAAACTTCATATCTACACTCTCGCAAGGTGTAAGAAGTGGTTTATTTCTTCAGATCTCAAAATCTAATTGTGACATCATATTAACATTGATATACTTGCTCCATTTCGACGACAGAACTACAGTAGTTCTTGCGCTTCGTTTTGAACTCGCTGCTCGCACACTCTGAAGAAGCATGTCTGTTTGCGCAGCAATCTGGTTGCAAATATCCTCGTTGGCTTGCTGTCTGCGACTGGCGCGTCTGAGATTTCGCTTCGAATGAGATTCTAGCCAAAAGTTTTCGTACACTATGGTAACGGATACCTTGGGCGCTTTGCTGTTTGTTTGCATTCTAGAAGAGGTGAGAGAGAAGAGAGAAATAGGAGGATATACGATGGTCTCAAGTAGGAGCGCAGACGAGAGTCGACGATCACAACAGGAGGAGGAGCCGAAGCAGACGAGGTCGAGCACGATATCTAGCGAGAGGACGATTCGGATCTGTTTTAACCTTGATTTCCCTCGCGGCCACCCTCACCCCCGACTGTACTCATTCGAAGTAGCACCTCTACCCCTCTCTTTGATGGTAAAATACCCCCATTACTCCCAAGGTATATCTAAGACCGTTTTGTGTAGGGGTTATAATATTCCCATGTCAGCGCAAGTGTAGTAAAGTTGTCAGCCATCGCGGATCGGACCTGAAACGTTATATGTTGAAGGATAGTTATGCAGCATGAGGAATGTGCTTCTCGAAAACTCTCGATATGGAATAATTCGAGGTCGACGTTGCTCCTGCTTATCAGTAAAACAGCACCTTTCCACCACAAGACAGTCGGTCGGTCACCGTCAGCATATCTCGTGCACCCCCCCCGCCCGACCGGCTGTTTCCGCTCGCTCAAGGCAGGTCAAATGTATACCGGCAGATAGGCTAGTAGAGTAAAACTTACGGTACAACATTCCGATCAGAACCGGGATGATCCCGCCGGAACCTAGCGGTCAAAACTTTTTACTCAAGTCCGAGTTCATCCAGTAGTAGTCCGGGCCCGGGGATTCCGAACTAGGCTCGGAACTGAACCGGCGGCCGCCCGGCGGCGATTTCAAGCTTTGAAGTTGACCCGGTACGGTCCGACGTCAGCTCTGTGAGATCAACTTCAAAGTAACTCAGCGCCGGGCCGGGTAAAGGGCCGCCTGGCCTCGACGCACGGCCACTGTTCAATGGTTTGCGGGCCGCGGCCCTTGGCAAGTGACGGTTCGATCAAGTTTCAAGTTTGTATCATTCAATGTTAAAGAATAACTTTTTCCCTCTTATACACAGTCATTTCTGCGATCAGTAGCGCATGTTCATAGGATGGGGAGCATCCTGCACCTGAAGTAGAGGCGAGTGTGAGTGAGCAACAGGAGCGAGAAAGCAACGCGAGGGCGCTAGGGAGTACCTTGAACAGTTTGTTGAGAGCATCCAGCCAGCCGTTGATCTCGCTCTCGCTGCGGCATGAATCAGAGCCACGATCCTCGTCCTGATTACCCACCTCATCGCCGACAGCAGATAAACTTTGCCCGACTTGGCATCCTGGCGAACCCCACCCCCCCCTTATGCGTCAGCACCCGTTGCCTCCACCCGTCTCCCCTCCCTCGCTCACCTGGACTGACACACAGTAACGACCGTTGGAGTCGTTGGCTGCCTCTCGCCTCGCCGTGTAGGTTGGATCTGGGCAGACGGTCAGGCTCAGCCGGATGGCGGCAGGGCAGGTCACCCAGTGAAAGCGGCTTGCGGGGGGCTATGCTAGCCTGCCATCATGATGAGCGAGATGAGAAGCCCGAGGGAAAAGAGGACGAGAGACCCTCGAGGCTTCCGAGTCGTCCGTGTAGTAGGCGAGGATGAAGTGGACGACCTTAGCACCGGCATAAGCTACCGAATCGCTCCTGCACCTCTTGTCTGCACCTGCCAGTTGGCGTGCATCGAGCTCTCCTCGTTGCTATCCTCTACGACTCTGCTGGGTTGTCAGAGCTCAGCAGCTGGGCAGGAGCTGGGCAGGACCTGTGGAGTTCATACCATCGCTTCTGCCACTCTGTGGTGAAGTTGTCGAGGAAGCCCTGGAAAGAAAGGTGAGAGCTCAGAAGACATTGCGAGCAACCGCTCACATTCTTCTTTGTCTTTCGTTTCCACAGCCAGCCGGCATAGCAAGGCTTCTCTCCCACAAGCTGAACGTAATTCCATCAGCAAGGAAAGGCAACATAATCTGACGTACGCGTTTGCACTCAAAGACGTCCGCTTCGTCGTCTTCCTCACGCACTCCCCCCTTTCAGATGTCAGCATTCACACAGCAGAGTCTCCGCCAGCAAGACCTTGAGCGGTTTCTTCTCGACAGCCTGCCAGGAACAGCATCAGCGAGCAACGAGCGAGCAAGGAGAGGAGACAATTGCCTGCAGACTTTTCGGAGGGCTATTGGTGAACGTAGATCGCAGGTCAACCACCAAGACTGTGATGTTGTCGTTGCTCCCCTTCTTGAGCGCTTCTTCTACGATCGCCTTGGATGCCTATGGAGAGCTGACGTCATCATGGATCAGAAGAGGCTAAGACACAAGACCTTCTGTGGGTCCTCATGTTTTATGGCAATTTCGACCGCTTGCTGCGAGATGTTTGTGAGATCTGCGTCATGCTGCATAGTCTGGATGTCACCTTGTTCGAGACGACATCCCACACACCATCGCTCGCCATGATCATGTACTGTTACACAATCTTCAGCGTCAAGTCAAGTTGGCATATCAATTGTTCTGACTTCATCCCCTGGACTGAGAGTGTAGTGTTTGACCTATCAAGAAGGTTACTATCTGGCGGGCTACTGGCTCTATTGAGAAATACCTCAGGGTCAGCAATCACTGCCTTGTTACTAGTCTTCAAGCTATCCAGCTTCTTTCAGCTTCATTCTGCACAGAGCATGCTACCGCTCACCTGCCATCACCAAAAGATCTCGAGGTAGCAAGAAGCCCATCCACACGTGGTACGCCGATCCTGAAGGAATTGAGCGCAAGAGAGCGAGTGAAGTCACTTTACTTGATGATCGATCCTCCCGCTGCGATGATTCGTTCTTGTTCATCGGGTCTGCATCAAACAGGGTTAGGATTCCCCCGCTAACTGCCACAATCGAAAGGAAACCTGGACGGTTTGTGATCGTCGGAGAGTGGAATCGCCTTCGAAGATCCGTCAGAACATGGAATAAGTACGGGCATGTTTCCAACTTGACCAAGACGGGCAAGTATTGTTCTCGAGTCTCCAACGTTCGCAACATAAACAGATTGATGGTAAAGGATTGCCTGGCACCAGTTTGGTTGAGAGGCTTCACAAAGGTACAGTACATCAGAACAACAACATACCGTTGTTGCAGTCGACCCGTCAAACCATCGATTGTTCACAGCAATCTCCTGCACAACAAAAATATTGGTCAATGCACGTTGATCTACACACCTGAGAGCCTCACCAGAAAATTTCGGTCGCATTCAAGGTAGCTGTTCGAAATCGCTTTGCTGAATTCGTTCACTTGGTTAAAGTCCACATTGCTGCAGCAGCTGTCAAACAAATTCAGCTCAAGTGGCAGGTTCACTTTCCTGATCGAATTTGTAAGATATCCAACAAGATTCTTCTTGAGGAATTCTGCACATCGAGTTCCCGAATGCCCGTCGAACACCCCGAAGAAGTTGATGCCCTTGGCGCATGAAATGGTTCAGCACCCCCCCAGTTCGAACTCGATTGCAACTACCTGATGCAAGGCAGTGTTCAACACAGACACCTGAAAGTGATCCTCCATGTGCGGCCTCCTACCCTGCGTGCTGTAGTAGCCATAGGGCCACCCGGAGCAATTGTACGGTGTCCAGTGCTGCCCCCCCGACTCATCCTTGGAGCGATTCGGCCTGGCGGTAAGCATGGCAGCTCTGCTGACCGAATCCTCTAGTGTGCAGTAACCGAGGATGCAGTGCCGTCAGTTAGGGAGTTTGACTAGGAAGGGGTCGCCAAGAATCTAGAGCAGACCCAGTCTCGATGCGCCTGAACGAGCAGTAGACCGGAGTAGTCGGCGCAATGACCTGAGGAAGACGATTCACCATGACTTGCATGTTGCAAGCAAAGGAGCGAAAGGTATAAGAAGAGCAGAGCATGCGGCCGGACATGAACAATCACACGCGGAGATGCACAGGCAGAGACTGATGGGCAGATGTGAAGACTGTTGCGGCGGGAAAGTGACGTCGGGACAGCAAGAGTAGCGAACGGAGAGGATTAAAGGGATTTCCATGGGGATAGGATTTTGGCAGGAGTAGATACGAAAGAAACATGGCATACGACGTGCATGCACGCCTCGTGAGTTGTGCCGTGAGTCAAGCAGTCGCAGCGAGCATTGTGCGCAAGGCGAGATCAGGGGGCGTTTCCAGTGATAGAGAGAGGAGAACAGACGAAGATAGAGAGGGGAGGAAGGGCGCACGCGAGTATGAGCTAACAGGGGAGGAGGAGGAGCCAGCGGCGGCGGCGGGCAGGGCAGGGGAGGAGGATGGGGATGCTGGTGACGGAATGCCATGAACAAGTGCGATCCAACATTTGATGTGGTTGGGGGTGGGGTTATTGGGAGGGGGTACGGTTGTCTATCGAGGTGTTAACAACCTATCGTCTATCGGGGGTTGGGGTACTTTAAATAGGGTAGGATATTGAGGGGGTACCTTCGTTGACTCTAAATACGTGGGTACGAGATAGAGGAGATAACGGGTAGTCTAATTTGTTGTAGGGTACTGATACGTTTCGATTCTGCAGACATCTGTCTTGATAATAAGACATGGGTAGTGGTACATTTACAGGGGTGTCTCTCTCAAACAGGGGGTAGTGATGAGCAGGGGGTGGGACGTTACATTTCGATGGGTGGGTTGTTGTGTCAAAGAAGAGGTGGGTTGTCAAGTTTGGGGTGGTACTTGAGGCAGGGTAGGGTGGTCCACTCTTTTATGGGTGGGGCTGGTTTGGAGTGCAGCTAGATTCAGGGTCTTCGAGTCCAAAATATGAAATATCTCAAATTTTCTTTGTATATTCCAACATTGAACCTGATTTTTCAATTGTTTTTGCAAGAATGTTACAACAGAGCGGCTGGGGCTGTTTAACCTGACTTGCCCAGGGGTGGTCAACCACCTCTGTAGGTCTCAGGGTACTTGGGGTACGAGGAAATGGAGACATGATAATAGGGGTAGGTGGTGTGGAAGAGAGGTCATCAGGAACACGTGGTTGAGGGGGTGTATGAATGAAACGATCCAAAAGCACAACGTTTGATTTTGGATCCTTGTTGACTTCAGGGTGAATAACCCCTCTATCTTGTAGGAAAAAAAATATTGATAAATAATTTGTATTGCGAATAAGATAGTAAAGTGATCCTCAGAATATTGAGTAACTATTGCAGGTGGCCATGAAAAAAAGTGAAATTATGAAAAGCTTCAAGGTTGAGGCCTTTGAAGGAGAAACTTAAGTTGAAGAAGTATTCTGAAATGCCTAATTAGCTAAATGCTTTGATGGCTGCGCAACTTGTGACACTCAGGCTCCGTCCGGAGAGTCCGTCCCGCCGCGCGCGGCCCGGCCCGCCCGGCTGCCGTGAGGCTCGGGAGCAGCACCGCCCGGCCGTCACCCGCGGCGGCGCCCCCCGCCCCCCCGCCCCCCCCCGCCCCCGGCGCCGCGGGCCCGGCGTGACCGGCCCGCCGGGCGACCCGGGCGGCGTACAACGGTCGCCAACTCCGTGACTGTCAGTTTTCAAGTTTTCATTCGGTCACAGAGTCATGTTCCGGGCCCCGGCGCCCCGGCGCCGCCCGGCCACCGTGACTCACACGCCGGGCCGGGCCCATACCCGCGAGACACGGTCACACGATTTTATTCGCTCCGATGATCACCTCGAGACTTTGAGCGCGGCGTCCGGCGCGTCCAAGTCCATCAGTTTGACACTCAGACGTCTGCCAGCCAACCAGTCAGAGAGGAGCGGCCATAGCACTGCAGGCGGGCAAGAGACCTCGAGAGGGCGGGGACAGCTGCTACAAGCGCGAGTAGGAAGAGCAGAAAGAGCTGCCTGAAAACCGGAATTACTCGAGCTGGACCCCAACAGCACATAAAGATCAAGGCCGGGAGAGTGCAGTGAATGAAGCAAAACGGAGCACGAAAGGCGGCGATGGAGGAAAGGGGGAGGGGAGAGGGCGCCAGAGGAAGGCAAGGGGCTAGGATGAGTGGATTGAAACGACGGGGGGATCCTTCAGGCTTACCTCGCACTTGGCTTTAACAAGTCTTCTCCAGCCTCCAGCCTAGATAGCGCAGCTCCTGTCTCCACTGCACCTCCCTTGTCATCCTTGGCGGAAGGGGAGGAAGGGGGTGGATGCTGTTACCTGCTAGGAGGCTGGCAGGAAGAGCTCCGATCAAAGTTGCTCCGGCGAACTGCGAGCATTAAGAGACCGGTAGGACAGGAATCAGCAACTTGCATCACCTGCCATACAGGGATCGGCACGAGCGGTAATGAAATGTTGAGGAACCATGCGGGGATCATTGGGAGACCCTCATGGATCTGCTCTCCTCGTCAGTCGGCTCCCCCTAAGCCCTAAGCCCTAAACCCCCTCCTCCTGCTTACAAGACTAAGAAGAATAGGTTGTCGGATCCCATCATCATCTGCGTGCACTTCGTCAGCGACTCCTCAAGTTGGTTAGCTGGTTGCAGAACCTGCCGGAGAGACGCTACCCGGGTGGGAAAACTGTACAAGGAAGCGAAGAATGAGGAACGAGGTCAACATGCGATAGAAACATCTCGTACTTGCGGGATACAAAATCTTTCAGCAGCGCCAGCGATAGCAGGTAACACAGCACTGCCCCTGCAGTTGCACACCCTGCCAAGACATGCTCAGCCCCCCGGTCGCGATAATAAGGTCGGTAGGGATACCGAGAGCATAAGGAAGGGCAACCAAGTACTCCCCATGCGGAATGACATCTTTGAATAGACATCCAGCGAGAACGTTCATCGTCGTTCCGCTCCCTGATTCACAAAAGTCAACCTTGTCAACCAAGACATGGACAAGAAGAATGCCTGGAATGCAGAAAGTCTGCAGCAAGATATACAGCATAGACATCCCCAATAACAATCTGCAATGCACATAAGTCTTCGTTCCTTCATCTTCATCGCCCTACCTCCATTTGTGTAGTGTTCGATACGCCAACAGCAAGTCCTTGTCCCGTCTGAAATGCTCAGCTGGCGTCGAAAGTCAGGAGGACGCAAGAAAGCAGAAGGAAACAAAGGAAGAGAAGAGAGTGGATAACAGAAGAAGAGCAGCGGACGGAACCAAGGAGAGCTCAACAGATGCCGTGGCAAAGCAGCGTCTCCTACCTTTTGTCGGGTGCCAGATGAATTTGTTATCTCTACTCTCTACAGTCGACAGAGGCGGCAGAGTGAAGAAAATAAATGCCCTACATCACCATATCAACAAGCACAATCCTCGACCTCCAGCACAGCAGCTTGCTTCCTTACATGAGCGCGACAAGAGCCAGGACGCAAGTCAGGATTATGTAGGTCTGTTTCAGCTCTGGGTTGGAGCCGCTGGGAGGAGGGCTCTGCCGCCCTGCCTCCATGCGAGAAAGCTGCCTAGTCAGCACTGGGCGATCCCTGGACTCGTTTCATTCTCCCCGCCCGAACCGTCTTACTCCTCCCTCCTCGTACCTCTTTCCTCCATCCAAACCCTTCGAAGCCTCGTCAGGGCGAAACTCCTCCTACTGCAAGGTTAGGAGGGCCCAGCCCGTACATAGAAGGCATCGTCATCACCTGGTTCGCTGCGGCTGCGATCGCAGACATTGATCGCGTCCTCGCCATGCCGTCCTTCAGCACTAGCCAGCCTTGTACTCAAACACCTTGAAAAAGACTCCTTGAGTTCCCTCGTCGGGCAAGCAGTCTATCGGCTTCTACAAGCAGAGACGCAAGGCAACAGCGCAGTCTCTTTCAGTATCAAACTCTTTTCATCACCCTATTACTCGCTCTCGATTCAAGTTATCCTATTGCTCAGCTTCCCTATCGTCCCTGCGGGCTCACAAGCACTCATGAGAAACTTTCTTGTCGGCAGTGTACTTGCATGACATCATCTCACACGCCCGACTTCTCACGAACATCAACGAGCATTACAAAAATCTCATCAGACTCTGATAATCTCTAAGTCGATCGTTTCAAACTCATCGTCCCACCTACCTCCTGTCCTGATTTTCGTTACTCAATGTCCATGCACTGTACGTCACAATTCGATTGTCCTCCTCTACCATTGAGTCGGATCCAGCCACGGCATGTCCTTGCCGCCATGCATTTCGTCCCTCCTCGTCCTCGTCCTTCCTATCCTCCTCTCCCTTCCCCTCTGCTTCCTTACCTTCAACGCCGCCTGCTCCTTCCATGAAGACGCTGATCCCCTAGCAATACCCGAAGTTTCTTCAATAAGAGATAAGTTTGTTATTTGAAGATGTCATCCCAAACGATGCCTGCCAGCATTTAAGATTCATCAATTAGACTCCAATCAAAACTTCAGTAGTCCTTCAAATGATCTTTCCATCTCTGATTTCTTGTTATTAGTCTATTTATTTACAATTTAGCTGATTCAGAGTGGCCGTGCAGGAGCACATCCACCCGACCTCGAGTATCATCCAGCAGCATACTACCCCACCCTACCTTATCACTGTCATTAGGCCTGATTTGCCATCAATTCACGGGTTCCTACCCCTACCCCCATTGGGGTTTAAACGAGCTCGGTTGAGATCTCAAGCCGACGTAACTGCGCAACGAGGGGTTGTATCCGTTACAGACGTTATTTATTGATGACCGACCCAACGGTTACCGATTCTGAACAAGTTGAACGGACTCAGTCTACTCCTCGTACTGAAATCAGTAGTCTCACGGAGCGTCTCACGGCCGGCTACAGTGCCGCACGCCGGGCCCGGCCCCCCCCCCCCCCCCCCCCAACCCACCCTCCCGGCCGGGCCGAACGGTTCTGCGGCCGCCGTGACCGCCGGTAGGCTACGGGCCCGGCGTACGGTACGGTATTCACACACTTGGCAGGCTGAACTGCTCCGAGCGAACTGATTTGAGTCGATTCAAATCGCACGGCCATTTGAATTTCGAATCATGCGGCGATTGGCCCTGTACGGGACCCCCACCCCCTCCAATAGTCCACATGAGCTAGGGGTCGGTAAGAAATACAACCACGACTCCTTTGTAGCACATTGGGCTGGGGTGGGCGTTTGGACTGGAGAGGTATGTATGCCCCTTTAACTTATCTCCTTACATAGTAAATATGAATACTTTGATGATAGTCTTTAGCTATTCAAAATTCTTACCCCTATTTCCCAGGATGTACCCCTCCCTTACGCAAGATCTTGCAATACCACCCCTCCCTTCCGTCCGGTCCAACAAAGAACTTCCCGCCTCTGGTGCCCTTCCTCCCCCGCCCGTTCCCTTCCCCTCCCGCCGCGACCTCTCCTGGTCCAAGTCCTGGTCCACCTCTCCTTCCCCTTCATTGATCCCTGTGTTTCAACTCACTTCCTGCGCCAGTAGCTTCTATTCCCTCCCCCTCATCTTCTTGTTCATCTTGTGCAACTGGCTGGATTCCAACCGACTTTCTACTTGCCCGTGCTCCAACACCCTACTTACACCGAGACATCCTGTTGATCCGAGATGGTACAGTATCGAAACCCTACATGCCAACAAGAGAGCAATGGAACAACTTTTGCGTCATGCGTTGTTCCTCCTCACTACTATTCACACTCTTATTACCAAGCTTGCATGCCTTTCAATCCTATCTACCCGTATTATGGACAAGAGGCGCACAAGGAACCCAACACAAAGGTCAAGCAAACCAACAAGCACACAACTATCTCGGACATAAAGGTCAAGAACTCCTCATCTGAGATGTCAGATGAACAAGCTTGCTTCGTGCTTCTCTCACTTGCTACGGGTAGTGAGAAGACCAGCATCTCCTCAATTCTCGATGTGGAACACAAGAGCACTCCTTGCAAAGAACTTAGATGCAAGGTAGATGAGATCATACCACCTGCTTTGGATATCTCATTGCAATCGCCCAGCAGCAGCAGCAGCAGCAGCAGCAGCAGCAGCAGCAACCGATCGAGTTGCAGCCCCATTTGTCATGACGAGAACATGGACCTTTCATCAAGCATGGAAATGGATGCCTCGGTGGACTCCTCTTCTACCAACGATTCTGATAGCAACGACTCCCTCGCATCCATGGACATCAATCGCAATTCTGTGAAACGTCTCATGAACTTGGATTATCTGCTGAGGACCGCCAAGTCTCAGGGAGTGATCACTTTGGAATCTGCGCCTGCTCAGTCCGACAACTGCGTGATGGGATGGAAGCGAATCCTCGTGTCGGATCCTCTCAGGCTCAATCAAATGATCCGAGGAATGGTTGAAGAGGATATGGACGGTATCTGGAAGAAGGCAAACGGGAAGGGATGCAGAGGGTTGAAGAACCCGACATGGGGAGTCTATGATTTGTTCAGAAAGATCGGCGTAAAGCCTAACATGCGTGGGCCGCAAGAAACGGATCCTGGGAAATCCGACATGTTCTACTACAGGGAATGGATCTTCAAGAATGACAAGAGCTTCCATCAGGCCAGAAAACGGCTTGCAACTGGGTTCTCGTGTTGCAAGGGTAAGAGACCAGATTGGAGAAAAGTGAAAAGCGCGAAGAGCAGCATCAAGATCTAAAAGCTCATTTTTCCCCGTGTGCGTGAGTCACATGAACGAAAACAATATTATAAACAAAGCCAAAAACAACACATTTTGTCTACTACCGTCGGGCCAAATCAACTTTAGGCAAATCAGGCCTACTGTGTCAAACTCTTTTAATATGAATAAAGATACCGTTCTCAATATCCATTCTCCTTCAGATAATCAGCAAGTTTCTCTACCACAACATTGCAATCTCCAGCTTGTTGGTTCTCGCCTGTAACTGAATTAGAGAATATTTCTAAACTGGCACAATTATCCCTACCGTACATCCCAATGAGAATGCACTGGTTAGTTTTGGCAATGCAAGCTCCCTCAGGTCCCTGCAAATCCATCAGAAGAGAACTGGCTAGCATGGTCATCGGATCTACATGGCGGAGGTAGATTGAGCTTTCATCAGCACGGAGCACAAGGAACTTGACGCCCTGCAGAGTCACCGGCATCGCATCGCTGCCGAGCACTGAGTTGGGAGATCCTGCAATGGCAGTTGCGATGCTGGCTCCTTCTTGTGCGCTCATCTGTTCACATCAAACATGGTGAGAGAATGAAACCTCTGTTGGATTCGCTACAAGTCTAATTCGCGACACTTGCACTATGGCCGACAGCAGATACTACTACACAAGCAGAGACTATCAACACATTCAATTTCCTGAAAATTTCATGCCGTAGTGACAGTTCGATGAGTCGCATTAAAAGAACTGACAATTGGGTGTGGAAAATATATGATGATATCCTAATAGTTGCTCGTTTTTTTCTCGTTGCAACAGATTTCTCGACATATCACTGCAGGTTCACACGTACATAGCGATAATAACACAATAATTGATAGAGTCATCTATGAATGCACCATCCAGTTCCACACTTGGAAAGTTCAAATCCGCATTAGAGCGATGTAAAAAGTTTCCCTCTGAAGCGTTCAAGGGACATGAGAGGTTGCCAATGCGGTAATTTACATCCTTAGCACATCAGAGAGCAGCTCTCTTTCCGTAAAGCAAGCTTCCAAACTCGCATCGTTCAGACATAAGAACATCTACATTCATCTAGTTCGCCTCAAACTAGCACAAGGCCTTTTTTGCCCACTCTCAACTCCCATGTGCCATTGATATGACAACACAATCCTTCCGCTCTGTGTGCTCACCTTGAAGTTCGCGGAGGAGGCCCAAATCGCGCCATTGAGGCCTATGATAGCGGCATGGGAAACCTTCCTTGTCCCCACCAGATGATCGTCCACGTAGGCTTGCCACGACATAGCCGCCGAGGATGTCGCTGTGTTGCTTCGACTCCACCACCCCCACCCCTTACTTTTTAACCCCCACCCCTTTTGAACAATCACCCCGTAGTTTCGAATGTTCCACTTCCGTGGTTGACCCTACCAGGTGTGAAGTTCATAGTTCACATAAAGTATTAAAACCTTTTTTATTATTTCAAACTCCCATTGATGTTTGCAAAATATTTTGATACCCTTTGCATCCAAACCGGAGTCGCTTTCAAACCATTCCGATGTACCCCTACCCCCTCTTTCATACCACCAATTATCTCCACACCCTGCCTGAATATCACCCTACCCCCAAATTAGTACTACCCTTGTTGCAGTACCCCTACTACCCCATATAAACCTCCACCCCCAAGGACCATCTACCCCCACCTACTCATTTCCTGCCCATTTTCGGCCCATCGTTCCTTTCTGACAACCCTGATCTCATCACCACCCCTCTCACACATAGGAAAAAGTACCCCCTCGGAGGCATTTTCCCACCACCCTGTCACTCAAATCGGATGGTCAAATTGGACCCACCCAATAAAATTAAAAGAAGGTCAAATGCAATCATGGCACACAGGTAGGGTACTGTACCCTACCTTATCCATTCTCAAATATCTTCCCGGATTTTAGGGGTACAATCGGCTATACTGTTAGACGTACCCTACTTCGCAATAAAGGACCCCCCTTTCGGGGTTCGGAGTCTGTTTGTTCCGGCCCTCCCTCCTCTTCTAGCTAATCCATATTGGTGGGTGGGTGGGTCGGTGTGGGTCATGGTGTAGTAGGTTCAGGAAAACTGGGTATTTTTTCAGATCAAAGGGTGGGTACATAGATAGTCCCTCCGGGTAGGGTAGACTACCCCCTCTGGTGTTTGTAGCTTGGGTAGGACTGGAATGTTCGACCTGATTTGAAAATTCAAATGACCCCCACCCCCCTGTCCACTAGGGGACTCCCATCGGCTCACGCCCGGATCGAGCTCAACAGGTCCACTCGAGGTCTGCCTCAAGGGTCAGACATTTCTCGAGTGGAGCTCTAATCTCAGAGGGGGAAGGTGGCAGCATCTGCGCAAGTGGAGGAAGGGATGTCCACTGACGTCATCAACATATTCCTCAGCTGGCCAGCCCGCCTCACCGATTCCATGTCCCCGGCTGGTGCCGGGCGACCCCCGGGCCCGGTAAAAGTCTCTCTGTCACTGAACGTTGGTACTCATAAGGAATGGCATGTAGGAAGAAGAGCAAGGCAAGAAGCGGAAGGAAGGAGAGGGAGTGAGGGGAGACACGGAGACAGACGAAGGGACGGAGGCAGAGGCAGGAGAATAGGAGGAGTAGATTTGACAGGACCGTAGCAGTGACATAAAGGACTGAGAGCTGTCTTAGTGCAGTCTCATCGGAGCAAGACACCTTTCGGCTGACCAGGCTTGTCGTGACTGAGACATGAATTTGTTGTGGCAGCGAGTAGTATCACCAGGGTTCTGACCTCTCATGCTTTAACAGAGGGCCTTGCATGATATGACCTTTGTTCGTGGAGGACCTCTGAGAAAAGTCACCCGGCCATTGCTCTTCCGTTCAAATCCCCTCGTTCGGTCTCTTATCATTGGCGCTGCCTGCATACCCGCGACAGCTGCGTTCATATCAGCAACCAAGCTTCCTTCCCTACGTGATCAGCTGAGCAGATCGAACCTCCAAGGCTCAACCTTCCCCCCGCGTGTCAGGAAGACGTCTTCTTCGTGCGAGCCTTGTTCTTGTCGATACCCCCTGACACGCCACGGCAGGAGCGCGAACATGAATATCTTCGGAGCTTTCTCTGGTCAGGGCGCTACCCAACAGAAGTTCAGCCAGTCTTTCGTCGAGGGCGCCCCGTCCTGGGCGCAGCTGGAGGAGATGGTGAAGGGGACGGCGACAGGAGCGAGGCTGATCGAGGAGAAACAGCAGAGGATGAGAGGAGAGGGGCCGACGCATCGTGAGAACAAGCTCCGTCTCTTCGGCCATGACGAGAAGGAGATCAGGGTTGTGCTCTACAGGGACAGTGCTGCATGGTGCCCGTACTGTCAAAAGGTCTGGCTGCTGCTGGAAGAGAAGAAGATCCCCTACAAGATCGAGCTCATCAACATGCGATCCTATGGTGACAAGCCTGACTGGTTCCTTGCTAAAAATCCCCGGGTATGTCACAAGTGCCTGCGCCTGCGCCTGTGTCTGCTTGCGATCTCCTCCTCTGCTCATGAGCTCTGTTTGTGCGGATGGATATGCCATTGTTGCTCTTGCTGTCTGTGCACGTTCGTGTGGCTCCACCCGTCGGCTCACCATGACGATGCTGCTTGCCAGGGCCTCCTGCCAGTCGTCGAGGTAGACGGGAAGATGATCAGTGAAAGTGTGTACATCATGCAGGTTGAGCTGTAAAGCTCGAGGGGGAGGGCATGAACTAGCTGCACAGGTACTTGACTCCTTGTCCGAGAGCAACCCGATGCTGCCCCGATCGGACGAAAAGCTCATGGATCGAGCAAACTCGCTGATGCAGGTAGAACAAGGCGAGGAAGGGAGGAGAGGGAAAGGGAAAGAAGGCAGGGAGTTTCAGTGGTAGTGTGAGTGGTGATATTGGTGGTGGTGGTGATTGAGGAGGAGGTGAAGCACGCGTAGCAATGGGTTTAAGGAAGAGATTTTGTTGAAGTGTAGAGGAAGAAGAATGAATGTTTCTCTTTATAACTGCTCGTGCAGCTCGAAAGGAGACTCTTCGGAGACTGGTGTGGATTTGTGTTTCAACCTGGTAAGATACGATGAAGTGGTTTTTGCTCCTGCTCCTGCTCTTGCCCTTGCCCTTCTTGTTCTTGTTCTGGTTCTGGTTCTGGTTCTGGTTCTGGTTCTGGTTCTGGTTCTGGTTCTTGTTCTTGTTCTTGTTCTTGTTCTTGTTCTTGTTCTTGTTCTTGTTCTTGTTCTTGTTCTTGTTCTTGTTCTTGTTCTTGTTCTTGTTCTTTTGTTTTGCAGGAGGAGGAGGAGGAGGAGAAGGAGGAGGAGGAGGAGGAGGAGGATGTATCTGACTTTTGTCAACCCCGAAAGGATCTTTTGGGAAATCTTCTTTCGAGGCAACTCTGAACCTGGTGAAAACATTTCTATCTGTCACCTTTCCCTGTTCTCACCACCCACTTCCATCTTCTCCCTCCTCCATTTTCTCTCTGCTCCCTCTCTTTTCTTCTCCTCTCCCTCCATCGCTCCCTTCCCCCCATCCACTCTTTCTACACTCTCCTCTCTTCTCCCTCCTCACTCTCTCCACAGGTGGACGAGGCGTTGACTAGCTCGCCCGGCCCCTGGTTCCTAGGAGGGGACAACCCTTCCATCGTCGACCTGCAGTACATCTCGGTAAGAAGAGCTGTTCAGAGCTGATCTCCATCCTCCTCCTCGCTGACCTTCCTTGCAGCACATCGAGCGAATGATTCCCTCCTGCCTGTACTGGAAGGGATTCCAGATGAGAGGTCTTTTGCTAGGGCGGCAATCAGCAGGTGGGTGATGGGGTGACAGGCAACGGGAAGTGGAAGGGAATAGAGAGATGGCTGGCGGCGTTTGAGGAGAGGCCGACCTACATGGCAACTAAGAGTGACTACTACACTCATGTGAGATCGTTGCTGCTGCACTTTCCTGCCTGCGATCAATCTCAGTTCTCTCCGTCTGCTGTTTCTGTCTTTTCTCTTAGACTTGTTTGTTTTTGTCTTGTCTTGTCTTGTCTTGTCTTGTCTTGTCTTGTCTTGTCTTGTCTTGTCTTGTCTTGTCTTGTCTTGTCTTTTGTTTGTTCTCACCTTCTTCTGACTGTTATGATACAGGTGATGGATATTCCTCCTCAGTATGGCCCTGGCCAGTCTATCCCTGTAAGAACAACTTGCTTCTTTCCTTCCTCTCTCCTCTCTCCGCCCATCTACTGCTCCCCTCCTCACCTTCGCTCTCCTTCCACCCACTGTCTCCTGCTTATTCTCTCCTGATTCCCTCCCTCCCTTTTCTCCCCTTCCCTGCCACTCCCTTTAGTATTGTAAGCATGTTTCACTCTCTTCACGTCTTATTCCTGTTCAGGAAGGAGAGAAATATCAGAAGGAGATCGACGGACGTTCTGGGTGGTGATGTGACCTGCCCTTCTTCTGCCTCCACCTCTCCCTCTCCCTCTCCCTCCTCTCCCTCTCCCTCCTCCCCCTCCTCTCCTTCTTCTGGACTTTAAACTTCCTGATTTGTGCTCCAGGTCTCTTCCCCTGGCTCCTCTTTCCGAGACAAGCCTTGAGCCCGTCCTTCCCTTCAACAATCTTGGAGAAGAGGTGAGGTGAAGAGGAGGAAGAAGCGGGACAGGGAGAATGCTGGTGGCGTGCTGAGACGAGGGAAAAGGCTGCAAGACACGAGGCAGCAACTGTTCTGCTCGGAAATCATCAAGTGGGTGAATCAAGCTCTTGATTCTCTTCCTCCTGCTGCTCCCGCTCCTCGTTTTCTCTTCTTCTACTTTATCTTGGGTGCTCTCCTCTCCTCTCCCCTCCCCTCCCCTCCCCTCCCCTCCCCTCTTCTCACTGCCTCACACATTTGCAGGCTGTCGCTCGTTTCTGCTGCCGAGCAGCTGGTGAGCTTAGCCTCCCCGCTGCTCAAAATTCTCTGCTGCTCTTCTTTCGGCTGCTTCTCTTTCTTCCCCTCTCCCCTCTCTCCCTCTCTTTCCCTCTCTCCCTGTCACTCCTTTCCCCCCCTCCACCCCCCCGCCTTTCTATCTCTCTCTCTACCTTTACCTTTCCCTCTCCGTCGAGCCTTGTTTGCGTTGCTGCCTGGGGGTGGCCCAATGGGGCCCCGGCGAGGACTACGAGCAAAGCCCCCCAATGAGCAAAAGGAGGCGAAGAGGGCACGAC